GCCAGGTTCAGGGTCTGCTGGCTGGGGGCTGGCAGGCTTGCACCTGGCATGGGCACCGTAGCCAGACCGTACCCCTTTAAGGGTTCCGGGGCCGGGAGGGGGGCAGACGAGTTTCCCTGGTGGTGCCCAGAGTGGCCACCAGGGAAAGCTGGGGAGGGCTAGCCTCCCACTAGTTTGAATTAAGGGGCTACACACCCCTTAATTCGAACTAGCTAGTTCGAACTAGGCATTAGTCCTCGTAGAATGAGGTTTACCTAGTTCAAATTAAGCGCTCCGCTAGTTCGAATTAAGTTCGAACTAGCGGTTTGCCTGTGTAGCGCCTATGAAAGTTAATTTGAACTAACGACTGTTAGTTCCAATTAACTTTGTAGTGTAGACATACCCACAGATAATACTAAAATCCACGTTCCACACACCCCAACTCCTTCCATGCAAATAGTCCCATAGGGAATACAAAAATTGGAATGATGACAGCTACTGTCTTTCCTTGGTTTCATTTCTTCCTAGCTGGACTACATACACACACCAGTGACCAAAACTCTCGCAACATCAAAGCACACGAAGGTGTGCTCTCTACCTCACTATGCAAGCGACTGAGAGCCTAAGCAACAACCAGTGAAGTGAATGGGCATCTTTTCAAGGACTACAATGGAAACTGGATCTGTTTTTTTAATTATCTAAGCTCCCAGTTTCCAGAGTTGGGGGCAAGCTGACTTGTGGGCTATTCAGAACTTAAAGGAGTGCTGAGTGTGGCAAACAGTCTTGCTGCTAAGCTCATAGCCAGACCTCTGCCTCTCATTAAAATCTTATTTCAGATACATTTACAAAAGCACAGCTATTCTGAAATTGGCCTTTAGGTGCTGCTAGAGATTTATTAATCGGCTGTTTTGCTGTCACTATGAGAGTTTCAGTGGTGAATGCACAAACACTGAAAAAATCAGCATTTGCTCTTACTTCAGCCATAGTGCTGGGAACATAACACAGAGGGGAAATGCACAATTAGGGATTTCAGAGCACTTATCTCACAATTAATAATGATGTGATTGCCAGTTTTTTATTTTGCTTGGGTAAATGAGGCCTGCTGGTCAGATTCAGTATGTTGGCTGATGCTGGCATAGCTTTCTCCAGGAGACATGATCAATACTCTAGAACTGGAAGGGACCTCGAGAGGTCATCAAGCCCAGTCCCTTGCCCTCATGGCAGGACCCAGTACCATCTGACCATCCCTGATAGATGTCTATCTAACCTGCTCTTAAATATCTCCAGAGATGGAAATTCCACAACCTCTCTAGGCAACTTAATATGCATTAAGGAGGAATTGGGTGCATAGCAATCCTTTTCATATTGGACAGCTGATGCTTGTTACAGTAGGTAGTTTTTGGTCAAGGGAAACCCAAGGCTGGAATTAAAAAGGTCACTTTAGGATAAAGTCTTGGAAGCCGTCTGTGTGGTACTTTACCACACTGCATTTGTGCTGCAATCAGTTAACACAATAGGCAGTGTCATTAACCAAATCAAATGCAGATCTCCTTGTGTACTGTGGCCAGAATCATACTACATTTGCAAATCTCATAACTTTTTTCTGAAATACTAGAAGATCAATTAAACAAGTAGCTGTCTTAATTATGTAATTGTTATTTATAATGTGTGCGTAAGTTTTAAACATGCTGGTCTCTTAACAGGGACATAACAAACTCATTAATCTATTTTAGCCACACTCCCCAACAGTGGGTACGCTTTCCCCTCTTACTTTAGTTTTATGCGTGTAGGTACTAACTCCACTGAACATAGTAGGGGTTTTACCTGCAAGGTCAAAATAGCAGGTGATTACAAGCAAATGATGCAATGCTTCAATTTGCATATTTTAGAATATGATAAAGGTAATGCTGCAACAGTCAGTAAAAATAATTCACTAGACATGAAACTGAAGTCTAAATATAAACTGAAGTCAAATGCTTGGGTTTATGATTTGAAAGGTGCTGGCTGAAAATCTGAAACGACAGGCCTGAGGGGGCCCAACAACAGAGTGAAGGAGGGAGTGATGAGTTGGGAAAATGTATCTGCACGAAGACAGAACCAACCCCATGTCCCAATAAAAGAGCCATGTTAATGTTGGGAATATTACTGACACTGTTGCCTTGAGTCAGGCCCAAGGAAGTGGAGGAGCCCCTCTTTTTGGTTGTCATACGCTGTCGATCCTCCAGGTCATTCAGCGCACCACTCTTCCATCCAGACCAGTGAGGGTAACCTAGGCTAGCGGGTGAGCCACAAGAGTGGCCCTCCTTCATCTCAGTGGGTCGCAACACTGTCATAACCAAGATGGTTTCCCAGAACACGGTAGTTTTGCTAACTGCACTATGTACCCAGAATTTGTGAGCTGTGTCGACTGAACCATTGCAGGGCTTTGATTGGATGCAGAGAAAGCGCCTGCCTCTCAGAATAAATGTGTGCAATCAGCGCACACCTCACTTCACACACCTTTGATTCAGTGCATGTCACTTCTATAACACCGGTAGGAAAGAAACCTATGTGGATGAACACGAGCGGAATCTGGCACCCCTGTGCATGGGCAATGGTAAACAAAACGTCTTGTGGGCCACACATAGAACCTCAAGGGGCCACAGGTTGCCCACCACTGCTCCAGACAGATTGTTTCTTATAGCCTGAGGCTCAGCCACTTGAACTGCAGGGGTAGGAGTTGGTGTGGCTAGCTGGGCCCCATCATACTGAAGCCAGAGGTAGGAGAAGGTTGGATGTGCCTGCTTCCTTCAGCGGGAGACATTTGCTCCCTCTTACTCTCTGAGGGGTAATTTTAGACCTACATGCCCAGCTCCTGTGAACTCTGGTGGATCACACCAACCATCTCCAATCTTGTCCCCGCAGTCAAAGTTCCCACTGAGAGAGGCCTTTCCCAGAAGTTGCATACAGGGGTGTAAAGCATTCTATCTCCATAGTACCATAGCTCTGAGGTCTTATGAATGGAGATGGGAGAGGAGTGGCTGTCAGATGGCAATCTGGCTGGAGATGAGGCATATAGGTGGATACGTTTCTTACCTCTACTTCCTGCTAAATTCCCTGGTCTTCCAGAGACACAAAACTGGGAGTCTGAGTTGCTCAGGGAGTAAATACTGACTTACACCAGCGCAAGCAAGAAGAAAACCAGGCTCAAGGTTTTGGGAACAGTTTCCCACTCCTTGCAGTCTTGGCAAGTGAGCATTACTTACATAGCAAATAGCAGCTAGCTCCTGACGCAGGTTACTTGCTTCTAGGGTTGATGTTGTTTTCATTGGATTTATTCCATTGTCATATACCGTAAACTTAGTTCCCATAAGATTTGATCTATTGAAAAACAGAAAGACAAATTACTTTTCTCCACAAGAGACTCTGAATTATCTAGTCCCTTATCATATTAGAGCCTCAAGTGGTAAAAACCCATCATATTCAAATAACTGTAAATAAAGGGGCCATCTGAAATCCTAAATATACACACACCTCTGGGAGGCAGGATATTATAAGATGCATGTTATAGGGACTGACTCTCTTATTGCTGGGAGAATCAAGAAGTAATACATCAGCTAGAAAATAATCTGTACACGTCCAGTTAATCTACAGTGCCATTTTCAATATATATCATCTGTCAAAAAGAGTTAAATAATTTGACTATCATATATGGTGCTTAAGACGCTCATGAGGCTGAGTTGGGAACTTCTGTTGGGTTAGTTGGTATTTTAGTTGGACTTTTTTTTAAAGCTCTATCAAAGGTGCCTACAACAACAGATAGGTATTTTTCTGTATATTTTTGTAGAAATCTAAAGACATAAATAACAAAAATATGTGTGTGCAGTAACATATATAATTCATGAGAAAGCTGTGCAATAAAACGTATTTACTCCACCATGAGCCACTTAATTATTCACATCAGGTTTGACATAAGTCTGGAAATAAAAGGATTGCCACCAAGGGATGAACATGTTTCAACATCTTCCGACTGTTCAAGTAAAACCAGCCAACTAACTAGCCAGAACAAAAGAAACAAAAACAAAAGAAACAAAAATATGCTGTCCTCTCGGTCACAACTCGGGAAGCTGTGGCTCTGGGCGAGCACCCTAACTGCCTCCCCCTAAAGTCTGGCTTCCTTTGAAGAACAAACTTTCCAGTATCTCAATTTCTCTTAGAATTGGTAAAAACATTTTTAAAAAAGTATAATACTGCATCCAATTTTTAGTCATTAGTGCTAATAGACAGCAGATAATGTTTTTTTCACTGACATCGTCATCAACAACCATAGGCTCAACGGCCATTGGTGTCCGATGCCTCCCTCACTATTTCCTTCCATCTTTCCCTGTCCAGTGTGGAGTGGCTTAGATTCTGTAGACTAGCTCTGCACAAATCTACTATATCATCTACCCATTCTCTGTGGGGTCTGCCTCTCCTATTCGGACCATCTATTATGTCGAATACCAGGGTCTTAACTTTTCACTCGTCGTTCATTCTGCAGATATGCCCGAATAGCTGCAACTTCCATTGTATAACCTTCTGTAGTAGGTTCTCTTTCGGCTGTATCTTCCTATATAATTCCTCATTGGTGAACTTCTGCATCCATCCTATTCTCAGGATCTTTTCATAACAACTCCTCTCGAATGCCAATATCCTTCTCTTTGAATCTTTAGTTATCACCCATGTCTCACATCCGTACAACATGCTGCTAAATACACACGTTTTCAAGACACTCAGCTTCATTCCTAAGCTAATCGCTTTACTTTTCCAGATCTTATCCATCGCCTTCAAACTCGCTCTTGCTTTCGCTATTCTAGATGCTATTTCCTTCTTACAGTCTAGATCATACGTCACTGTGGGTATGTCTACACCACCACCCTAGTTTGAACTAGGGTGGTAATGTAGGCATACCGCACTTGCAAATGAAGCCCGGGATTTGAATTTCCCGGGCTTCATTTGCATAAGCCGGCCGGCGCCATTTTTAAATGCCGGCTTGTTCGAACCCCGTTCCACG